AACTCCCAGAATCCCCCAGCCAGCTCTGCTGGCTGGGGGATTCTGGGAGTTGAAGTCCACAGGACTTAAAGTCGCCAAGGTTGAGAAACACTGGTGTTGCACCTTTGAAACGGGGGCGAGTTTGATTCTGGCCACCTTTTGACTGCCCGCGGGCGGGAGGAGGGGAAGAAAGAGTTGCATTTGTGGTTTTTGCCATTTTCGTTTCGTTCCTCTTTTCATTCTGGCTCGAAATGCAGCTGTGATTGATGTCACTAGATCACACTAGATCCTGCTGGCGTTAAGAAATTTCGTTCCCTTTCTTCCGCCTGCTATTCCTCGGAACGGCAGCGCTCACATCCTTTGGTGCTGAGAACCTCTCAGTTTTAGAGAAGGGGAAATCGTATGGATTGTATTTTGGTATTTAACAGATTAAAAGAGTTGAGATTTATTAGATTTATATGCCGCCCTTCTCCCAAGGACTCAGGGCGGCGTACAACAGTTACAAGAAACACATAATATAAAAGTTACAAAGAAAATTAAATGGAATATCCCAAAGCCAATAAAAATTGACAATACTTCGTTTTTTTAAAATTTGAATTAAATTTTGAATTAAATTTTGGAAGGGACCTTGTAGGTCATCTACTCTAACCCCTCCATCCCCCCAAAAGGGAGGCTGTACACCATTTCTGACAGATGGCAGCCTTGCAGTAAATGAAACCGAATGTAGCTGTGAGCCAGCCCCACGATGGGGGGACGTCATTTTCTATCCTTGGGTGAAGCCCATCCTTGGGCTGAGATGTCCCCGCATCATTTCCATTCTTCCAGTTGTGTGGGTGTGCTTTGTGATAGAAGTGAAACGCCCAACCGCCTCTTCGATGCACACACATTTCCCTCGGATTAATCTGGAACATCCTGTTCCTTAAAGCAAGAACAAGGATAAATTACCAGTTATTATTATTATTATTTTTAAAGGGCATTTGAGTTTTTTTTAAAAAACACTTATTAAACATTTGGTCACCACACTATAAAAAAAAGATGTTGAGACTCTAGAGCAGTGTTTCTCAACCTTGGCAACTTTAAGTCCTGTGGACTTCAACTCCCAGAATCCCCCAGCCAGCAGAGCACAGCTGGCTGGGGGATTCTGGGAGTTGAAGTCCACAGGACTTAAAGTTGCCAAGGTTGAGAAACACTGTGCTCTAGAAAGAGTGCAGAGAAGAGCAACCCAGATGACGAGGGGACTGGAGGCTCGAACATAAGAAGAACAGGTGCAGGAACTGGGCCTGGCTAGTCTAGTGAAGAGGAAGATCAGGGGAGACAGGATAGTATCTTCCAATATTTGAGGGTCTGCCCCAGAGGGGATGGGGGTCATCTGGAGATCCCCTGCTTCTCGGAGGCAGTGCGAACAGGTTACGGCAATGCTTGTGAACCGGAAACGCATGTGAATGACAGGCAGGAAGTGGCATCGAGAAGAATGCAGTGGAGCTGGATTGCGGCTTTGCCAAACCCCGGAGGAATGTTTGCTGCTGGTTGCAGGAAGCGATGAGGCAATGTGTCACGCCACCAATGCTCCTGGTTGCTCCCTGGCTGGATTGGGACCGAATGATCCGAAGCAAGCAATGCACAGTTGCACCATGGCGCATTGCTCCACGTTGCACTCTTACAGTAAGACTTAACCTGTTGCAGGAACCTAGCTTCAGAAAACAGATCAGTGTGTTCTTTTGCAAATAGGCAGATCCCAGAATTCCTCAACCGGGTTGAGTTTTTAAGTCCACAATTCTGGGGAATGCTGTGTTAATGCCATAACTGTGGTTGGTTTAAAGCGGGCTTAGCCTGGGCCATTGTGAACTGTCATCCACAGTTTATAAACGAGCGTTCGGCCTCCAGCCAATCTCATCTCACCCCCCCAAAATTCCAATTCTATGTTACTCGAATGGACAATATCAACTTTTAGAAGTATAAGGAAGGAATATAAGGTTGGTTTACATGACCAAGGTTAAAATAGATATAGTTATTTCTGCCAAGCTTTACTGGACTTTTGCTAACACGGGGATAGAAATGGTAATACTTTATGGTTTATATAGATAAGAGATAAGATACGGGGGAAAGATCATTGCTGCAATTTAAGAGGAGTTGAAAATTATTAAAATTGCTTACACTTAGGGTCAGAAGTGATTTATTTTTCTTTACTATATCTTTCCTTCCCTCCCTCCCTCTCTCCTACCTTCCTTCTTTCTCTAATTTTTCCTATTGCAATTATAATATTGCATGGCATGATTTCAAAGAAAACTGAGCACCCTCCTGGATTAATCCCTGGTGCTTTTCAGAAAGTGGGGCAGAGGGCAGTGGGGCAGGATGTTTGCAACCCCCCACCCCCACCCCACACCTTTTGACATGTGACAGGTTGAAAGCTTGTTCCCTTGTCAAGCCTGNTCTACCTTGGCTAAGGAGGACCCTGGAGAACATCAAGGCCTTAGCAACACGGCCAGGAGAAATTGTAAATTTGGTGTGCTTCTGCTGCCCTTACAACAGTTGTTTACAATCATCTTTCTCTCTCTCTCTCTCTCTCTCTCTCCTCTTCCTCCCCTTCCCCTCCAGCCTTGTATGGACTGTGTAGTTCTCCTTGCCTGCCGCCATGGGGAAGATGCTATCCAAGATCTTTGGTAACAAGGAGATGCGGATTTTGATGCTGGGCCTGGATGCCGCCGGCAAGACCACCATCCTCTACAAGCTGAAGCTGGGCCAGCCCGTCACCACCATCCCCACCGTGGGCTTCAACGTGGAGACGGTGACTTACAAGAACGTCAAGTTCAACGTTTGGGACGTGGGGGGTCAGGACAAGATCCGTCCCCTCTGGAGACACTACTACACCGGTACTCAAGGGTTGATCTTTGTGGTGGACTGCGCCGACCGGGATCGGATCGACGAAGGCCGGCAGGAGCTCCACCGCATCATCAACGACCGCGAGATGCGGGACGCCATCATCCTGGTCTTCGCCAACAAGCAGGACCTCCCGGACGCCATGAAACCTCACGAGATCCAGGAGAAACTCGGGCTCACGCGCATTAGGGACAGGAATTGGTACGTCCAGCCGTCGTGCGCGACGTCGGGAGAAGGACTCTATGAAGGCTTAATGTGGCTGACGTCTAACTACAAGTCGTAATTCTGGAGCCGGAGAGCTAAACTCGAGAACAGGCGCGCGCAAACCTCCTCCCTAACCGACGAGTTCTTCAAACCTTCCTTCTATTCCTGCTGTTCCCCTCCATCTCTTCAACTCTTCCCCCCCAACTCCTGGCAGAGGACCTCACCATCCAAGGTGGAGGCCTTGGAAGATTCGGTTGCTTCTCTCTCTCCCTCCCTCCCTCCTTCGATTTCTGTGGATGGAACAGTGGAGGGGAGGGGGGGGTCCTTTGGCCCCCACCCCATTGATCCATCGCTACCTACCTGCACCCCTTTGGAACGTTCCTCCCCCCCCCCCAGCCCTCCGAACTCAGGTGTCTTCCGAATGAGTCGAATCCAAGCCAAAGGGAAGACCCTTCGTGAAGAGCGTTGGCTGAGACCGATTTCCAGGAGCTCTTGTGTTCACTCGGGGGGTGGCCGTGTTCTCCCCCTCTCCCCGCCCACCTTTTAAAGGTGGGGAAGCTTGGCACTTCTCAGGAACTTGAGTTTGCTCCGCCGCGGCCTCTCGGAGGGCCGTCCTCCCGCTGGGGCGCACCAGGCTGGCAGATTAGACCCGCCGAGAGCTTCAGGAGGTGCTGCGTTTGGCTTTTGGCGGGGAGGGGAAGCCTCGGTGAGACGGTTGGCTTCCTCCGGTTGCCTCTTCCAGTGGGAACGCCCTGCCCTCTTGCCTTGTCTCGCCTGGCCTCTTTCCTGACCTGTTCCACCTGCTTGGGGGAAGACAAGGCCAGGCATGCCTAGCGCCCGACCGAACCCGTTTTGCCCGCTGCCGGGAGGAGGGAGTGGAGTGGAAGCCGCCATGCTCTATTGGCGACTGTCTCGTCCCCAGATTCCTGCCTACGGATTTTTTGGAGATCTGTCCCTCCCCTCCCGTAAAGGTGGGGCGTTCGCAACTCCAGTGGGACCACAACGGAGGGGTGTCTGTTACATTCCTTGAGCGGCTCTTTCGCGAATGCAGACTCTGCTCCCATATCGGAGAGAACGCTTCTCCCAGTCCTCCTGCGATGGCCGTCTTCGCTCCTTAGGATGCCACCCTCTTTCCAGAGCTTGGCAGCATGATGGGGCTCAACCGGGTGAATTGGAACAAGGGCCCATCCTTGGGAATATACCTCTCTTTGCCCGCGGGGCATGTTGGGGGCTGCGTCTTGTTCACGCACCCACACCCAGGTGCGTGCGGGACGTCATTTCTTGAGAACAAAATGTGCTTTAATGGTTCAGTTCCAAGCAGTGGGTATAAATCCTCTCTTTTTTAAAATAAAATAAAATAAAATAAATAATTGTACTGAGATGATCCATTGTGGAGTGGGGAGGGAGGGGTGCATAGATCCCATTCCCAGCACCTTAGATCAGTGTTTCTCAAGCTTGGCAACTTGAAGATGTCCGGACTTCAACTCCCAGAATNAGGTCCAGAGATGACAATTCCCGCCAGTCTTAGGCCTTGTGCAGCCTTTGGCTCTGGCGCTAATCTAGCCACCTCCCTTGTGGGTCTGGAGCAGATACTGCATTTCTTCCACTCCATGGTTGGAGGGTGGTGGGCAGAGGGAAAAGCGCTTCAAGGGAAATGTTTTCTGCATGCAGACTCTTGGGCTTGGGGGCTAAAGGGGGGGTCTCCAATGCCACTTCCTTGAGGGGGACTGAGGAGGGTGGGGTCGCTATCTGCGTCAGTTCAGTCTAAAGCTAGTTGGAAGCCTTGCCTTGGCTGCCCTGTTTACTGCACATGTGCAGGAAAAAAGCACATTCCTTCTGTGAGGTGGGGGCAGCACTGCCCCTCCAAGCACGACCACAGCTTAAACACAGGCTGGGCTTTGACAGCAGGTGTTGCCTGCGGGCTTGGCGGTTGAGTTGCTTGGCTCCATGGACCAAACAATCCTGGGGAAGCGGTTGGATTGCGGGCGGGCGGTGGGTGGGAGGGTGGGGGCAGGCGGGTGAGGCTCTAACAGAGGTCACTTTTGACCCCACCCTCCTGGCGAAGCAAGCAATGGCATTACATGACTTGACATGAACATGACTCACTTTCTCCTCCAAGGTACATACTTAGGCGCTGTGCAGATTGGCAGTGGCTTAAGTTGGCAGGGCTGGGCAGTTCAGAAGCTGCCTCCCGGCTCTCTGCCTTCTCCCTCGGGCTGGGCACAAGAGGAGGGGCGATATATCTGGCCTTTCCCCAGCTCTGAACCGATTTCCCACATGACCCCGGGGGACTCGCGCGCAGCTGCCGTGGAAGTTCTGAATTGCCTGGGATCTGCCTTCTGCTAGACACTCTCTTTAACAACACTACACAGTGTAGGAGCAAAAACAAAAAAAACAAAGCTCAACTTTGCATTAGCTCTTCCTGGAGAAAACACGCAGCATCTTAAGTGTCACCCGAAAGGCAACAGATTGAGTTCATGTCCTCACATCAAGAACACAACACCGCCATCCGAGAGACATCTACAAGCACAGAGGGAGACAGAGAAAAAGAGAGACAGAGAGAGAGACAGAGAGAGGCTCACCAGGCCACGACATGCTTACAAAAACAAAAACAGACAAAAAACCTTGAACCCAAGAAGGGAACACAGAAACTAGGAAAAAAAACACCCGAGGGGTCTCAGACAAAAGCGCGCCAGCGGTCTTAACGGAGAACGGAGTAGATCCCCGAGACCCTTCAAGACATAAGACGCTCTCCATATCAACTTGGTTTGGTTTGGGAGGGCCTCCCATTTACTCTTTTCTTGCAGTCCTCGGCTGCCGACATTTTTATCAGCGCCAAGCGGAGAGAGAGAGATTCAAAACCCCAGACCAAAAAAACCCCCAAGTCCCCGAGAGCCCCCAGTTCCCTAGAGACTGGGCGTGTTTTTTCCGCTTCAGGGGCACTTGAGATTCAAGGCACACTCCATTAACAGAGGAGAGAGAGAGAGAGAGAGAGAGAGACACGCACACGGGAGACCTACACAGCCAGAAGCACCAAATCAAAACCTGTTAACAGCACATGACAAAAAAAAACATCAGGAGACGCAACACGGAAGGGACACGCATTCACACCTTTTGTCATGTCCTTTTTTTCCTTGATACCATCTGAAGACAAAAAAACAAAAACAAAAATCTGTGAGCCCTTTTTCATTTACATTTTTTTTAAAAAAGAAATTTGATTTGTGTCAGTTTGGTGCCTTTTGACGTGACTTTGACTCTGAAACCATGTAACGCAGGGTCGCAGTGTATGTTTGATGGGACGCCATCTTTCAGAACTGTGCTTACACACTGTTGAAGCGTCCAATGGTAAGAGAAATGCAGAATATATTTGTGACAAGGGACAGTTGTACTGTAAACTCCTGCTGTAAGTAGCCCTTTTCAATCTTTGTAAAAAAAATGCCTGTTGAAATAAACTGCGAAGCTCTTTTTACTTTTTTTTTGTTTTTTAAAAAAATATGGGAAGATTTGTATGACTTGCTTTAAATTCTTCTGTCTTTTGTAGATCGATTTGTGTTTAAAACTTGGACAAATTTTGCTTTGCTTTGCCATCTTCTTGGTCTTGTTTTAATCTTTTGAGCTCTGCTAGAGGTGGGGAGTGGGCTGGCAAGGACTTTCGTTTCCTCTCCCCCCCCCCCCTGCTGTCCTAATGTTCGAACTGGTGGTGAAATTGACTTCTGTTGATTCTTGTATATATATATTTTAGACTTCCCTGCTACAGGGTTAAATTTTCGGGAGGAAAGCGGGGCAGGCTTTAAGATAAGATGGAGGAGAACCTTTGTTAAGCCAGGTAGATGGTTGAGAGCAAGGCTTGGCATCCAAGAGAGTTCTAGTTCATCAGGTTTGCTGCTTAAATAAACATCCGGAAGACACGTCAGTTCGAGGTAGTGTCAGGATCTGTCCCAAAGGGCCTCTTCCGGCACTCGCCTAACTGGGTGGACTGGGAGGAGAGTGGGTCGTACAGTGTGCCCCTGAAAAGGAAGTGTTGTTTTTAAAACTGCCCCCCCTCCCCTTTCTCCCATGGTGCAAAGAAAAGAGACACATTCTGAGGAATCTGGAGTTTTTAATATGGAGAGTGCCTCGGGCCGGCTTCATGGCCTAACCAAGGTCTCCCAACCCCGGTGCCAGCCCCAGAAATCAAGGCGACTGAGCCTTTTCCAGGAGCTTCTAATGTTGGTCTGCTTTTGACAGGGGAGCCGGGCGGGAATCCAAACAAGCGCCAGAGGCAGCCTCCTCTCCTCGGGGATCATCCTGCGGAATACGGTGAGGCCCGGTCGGTGGGTGGGGCATCTCTGGCCCTCGTCTTCCTTTGCCCCCGGCTGACTTTGGCTTCCGCCTGCAGGAGGACCTCACGGGGGCTACCACGGCCACTACCACGACGAGGGCTACGGCCCTCCTCCTCCTCATTACGAAGGGAGGCGGATGGGGCCGCCCGTGGGGGGCCGCCACAGAGGACCCAGCCGCTACGGGCCTCAGTATGGGCACCCCCCACCTCCGCCACCCCCTCCGGAGTACGGCCCCCACGCCGACAGCCCCGTTTTGATGGTCTACGGCCTGGACCAGTCTAAGATGAACTGCGATCGTGTTTTCAACGTCTTCTGCCTCTATGGAAACGTGGAGAAGGTGAGCAACTGAGGGAGGGGCCGGTTCTGGTGGTGGCAGAGCTGCTGGTGAGCCCAGTTTGGCCTTCGTACAATCCCAGCCTCGAACCCCTCCCGCAGTCACCCCCACACAAACAGAGAGAGTTTTGCTTGCTTTGGAAGTCTTTGGCCAAGGTNGCTTAGAGAGGGCTGAAAGCCCCATGAAGCGGTATATAAGTCTAACTGCTATTGCTATAAGTGCTCCATCACTGGAGGCTTCCAAGAAGAGATTAGGCAAATGCTGGCTGGGGAATTCTGGGAGTTGAAGTCCAGACATCTTCAAGTTGCCAAGGTTGAGAAACACTGCCCTAGACAAGCCAGGGGAAGCTGTCGGGGAGCGGAAACAGGCCCTGGTGGGGGGGCACGTCTCCCACTGCTTGGCTGGGATCTGTGGGGAGCTGCTCCTAAGCCCCTGCAATTAGGTGTAAAGCAATAGAGAGGCAGGCTGGGTTCACACAACCCCTGGGCCAGCATGGGGTTAACCATTAAGACAGTGGTTCCCAAACTTGGCCACTTTAAGACTTGTGGACTTCAACTCCCAGAATTCTCCCTCTAGCTCTTCTGGCTGGAGAATTCTGGGAGTTGAAGTCCACAAGTCTTAAAGTTGCCAAGTTTGGGAACCACTGCATTAAGAGGATGGTTCTAGTGTTGCATTGACCCAGTTCATGTGGCTAAATTAGGGTTAGTGCATTGCACGAACTCCTACACTCCATAAGCCATCTTTTAACCAGCATTGCCTTGCATGCAACTCCTTGGCCAAAGTTCAAGACAGCTCCCATGATCCTTTGCGGCCCAGAGGTCTTTTGACCAATCCCCGTGCAGGGTTGGCTCAGCACCAGGCCTTTCCCATGAGCCTTTGCTTCTCCACCGTCTCGACGTTAAAGGAGGGAGGGCGGGGCTTCTCTTGGTTGAACGTTCAAGACGACCGTTGGAGAATCTCTCCTCCCCCTCCCCTTTTCTATTCTGGAACCGGGATTCTCATTGGTTCATAAGAAGAAGAGGGGCAGGGTTGGGACCGAAGTCACGTCTACCAATTAAAATAAAGCTCGAGCGTTGCCGGTCCAATGGGTTTCCAGAGAGAAGAGTGACGGGCATAAAAATCTGCCAATACGTTTATCTCCTTGGGGCGAACGCTTCTCCTTTATGGGACCCAATCGGGGCGCCCGTTTCAGATTTGGCGCAATCAGGTTTCGAACGGCTGAGATTGACCCTTCCTTGAGCCAATGGGATTTCAGGGTCGTACCGTAGCTTTTCAGGGGTCCCGACGGTTTTAATGAAGAAGAAGGAGGGAAGTTCATGAGGAGCAATGTGGTGGGGCGGGATGCCGCGAGGAGAGACGTCGCCTTGAGCCAATGAATTTGAAGGAAGGGGGGACGGATGTTCCTGCTGGCCAACGGAAAAGGCCAAGACTTTTGATAAACGGATGCGAGAGCGAATCATATCGGCAGGCGGGAGACAGTCGACCCTATGGCGGCGGAGGGCGGGACAAAGGTAGGTAAGGCACCGCCTCGACCCAATGAGAGCCCGAGCGGCCTTGAGCGACGTCGGCCCGGCCCAATAGAGGCGTGCCTGAGGTGGGAGCGAGGGTGGGCTGGTGTAGTGTGGGCGCCATGTCGCGGCGGAGGTGGCGAGGTTCGCAGAGCGGCGAAGGCGGCGGCGGCGGCTCGGGACGCGGAGGGGACATGGTGAAGATGGGCGGTGGCGGCGGCGGCGGCTCCGGACGTTATTACGGGGGCGGCCCTGAAGGCGGGCGCGCCCCGAAGCGCCAGAAAACGGAGAACGCGGACCACGGGCCGGGGGGAGCGGCTGGCGGAGGCGGGGTGAGAGAGCGGCCGCCGGGCTGAGGGGAAAAAAAGAGAAGAAAAGGTCCCGGGGCGTGGGGGGGGGAGAAGGGTGGCGTTTCCGGCCCGAGAACGTCCCAGGGGCCTTTCAAACGCGCCTGGCGCTGGACTACAACTCCCATCGTCCCTCATATAAAGGGCGGGGGGGGGCTGCGTGGTGGCTTGGAACGATGGGAGTTGTAGTCATGACGCACGGGACCACAAGGGCCGGCGTGGAGCCTCCACGGGTAGGCGCAGTCTACCGTTAAGACTCCCGCCCCTTCCGCCCCTCCCTGGGTGGGAGGGGCCAAAGCGGTGACGTCCTCCGAGGGTGGGAGGGTGGTCCTCAAGTTACGACCTCGAAGGCGGTCCTCGAAGTTACGACCGCATTGGTTCCAGTGACCTTTGCCCCGTTTTACGACCTTTCTGGCCGCGGTTCTTGAGGGAATCCCTGCGGTTTAGTAGCACAGTTGTTAAGTGAATCTGGATCCTGTCCCATTCCCCCCCCCTTCGTCTTGACTTTGCTGGTGGGAAGGTCGCAAAAGGGGGAAAATCACGTGACCTTGGGACCACTGTGACGGTCATAAAGGCGAACCACTTGCCAGGCGTCTGGATTTTGAATCATGTGACCCTGGGAGGATGCTGTGTAGTCTGAAGCAGTGTTTCTCAACCTTGGCGACTTTAAGTCCTGTGGACTTCAACTCCCAGAATCCCCCAGCCAGCTCTGCTAGCTGGGGGATTCTGGGAGTTGAAGTCCGCAGGACTTCAAGTCGCCAAGGTTGAGAAACACTGGTCTGAAGAAATGGTCCTCCGTTACATTTAGCGCTTTCGCAACTTCGGTCACTAAAACGAACTGTTGTAAGTCGAGGACTTCCTGCAGGGCTTTCTCTACCAGCCTGCTGCCAGGAAGGACAATGGGCCTGTTTTGCTGATCCCTTCCTTGTGCCGTGATGCCTTAACATGGCTGGGCCCCTAAGGCCCCTTCTTTGACCTTGAGGACTTCGACTCCCAGAATTCCAGGAAGGGATTCTGAGCCAGGAATTCTGGGAGTTGAAGTCCCCAGATCAATGCCCATCCATAACCTTAACATGACCGCCTTGAGCGGTCCTTTAAAAGAGGGGCAGACTTAGGTTTGCCCCGGGTTCGAGTCAGGACCGGAAGGCCCATAAGGAAAGGATGGCCTTGACTAGCAGAGCCTTATGGATCCACAAAGCCTCCGAGGCTCAGCCCAGGCGAGTCATTACTTTCACATTCCCTGGAACGGAAAGACGGGGTGTATTTACCTTGTGAACAAAGCTCCTTAGTTTTGGGGAGGAGTGGTTTGTTTGCGTGCTTAATTATGATTTATCACACTCTGGTTCTGGTGCCCAGATTAAGGGCCAGGATCAGGATCAAAGCAACTCATTCTGCAGCATCCAATTCCGTCTGCAGGGAGAGTCGTTTAATCTTGTTTTAAGGGTTGGGATGTGTGGCCCAGCCCTTTTTCCTTTTGGGGGAGAAAATGGTTTCTTAGCTGCCTCCCCCCTTCCCCCCCCCCAGTTTGGGTGTGTGCATCTTGCAGGGTTTCGGTAGCGGTTTCCTGGGTAGCGTGGTTTAATTGTAAAGCAAGAGTCGCTTTGCATAATGAGATGGGCCGCGTATAAATTCAATAAACCAATTACTGAATTTAACTGTCGATCCCAGAACATCTAGATTGTGGGGCCAAATTTACTGGAACGGTCAAAGGATATGTGGCCTATATTTCTCTCTTGAACAAGAAGCATTTGCATAGATTTAGGGGGGGATTTTGAGCATGAATTGGCCAAAGAAATGTAACTGGTGCTCTTTTAACATAAGCTGGGAGCAGAAGAGCTGGGGTGGATTCAACCAATGGCTGCTTCTGTTGCTTCCCATCAACGTATAAAAGTAGCCAAGAATGATCTTTTCCTGGTTAATTTCCCTAGACCCACTAGAAAAATAAAGGAATAGCTTAATTACCTCCGATGACGGGGAATTCCATTGAACTGTGTCCTGCTAAGTTGCCTAACAGTCTGCAGTCCCCCAGAAACACCTTTTTGTGAAAGACTTCATTCACTTGCTTTTCAACTAGAATTTTCCCAGGGAAGTGTCACATGACCTCCTCTTCTCTCGCAGGAGAACTATGATGATCCGCACAAGCCGGCAGCTTCTCCTGTGGTCCATATCCGGGGTCTGATTGATGGTGTGGTGGAAGCTGATCTGGTGGAGGCCTTGCAAGAATTTGGCCCTATCAGGTGAGGAAGGGGCAGCCAGAACATCCAGAGGGGTGGATATCATGACAGATCGTGCAGGTTCAGTGACTTAGTTCTTGTCTCTCTCTCCCCCCATTTCGTCCCCCCCCCCTCCAAAGCTATGTGGTGGTGATGCCCAAAAAGAGGCAGGCTCTAGTAGAGTTTGAGGACATACTCGGAGCATGCAATGCTGTGAATTATGCAGCGGACAATCAGATCTACATTGCTGGGCATCCGGCCTTCGTCAACTATTCTACCAGCCAGAAGATTTCACGACCCGGGGACTCGGATGATTCGCGAGGAGTGAACAACGTCTTGCTCTTCACCATTCTGAACCCCATCTACTCCATTACGACGGTGCGTTTACGAGGCGGCTTTATTGTGGGGGACCCAAATCTAGGACACGGCGGTCCCGGCTTTCCTTGGGCCTCCAAGCATGCTTTGGACCAGGCAGGAAGAGCAGACCGAGGGTTAAGATCATGTCTGAATGGTTTGCGGGTCTGCCTCCTTGTCTCAATAAACTGGGCATTGGAGTCTGTGGCGGGCAGGGCTGCTAGGAGACTCGCAGGGGCCGTTCTGGTGAGGCCCTGTTGGCTTTACAGTCTTTGTCTTGTAGGATGTCCTGTATACCATCTGCAACCCGTGTGGTCCAGTCCAGCGCATTGTTATCTTTAGAAAAAATGGGGTCCAAGCTATGGTGGAATATCCTTTATTTTTGATGGCTGAGCAGAGCGAAGCAGAACCGTCTGCCTCGGCATGGGCTGTGGGAGATGGAGCACTTTTTTTTGGGGGGGGGCGTTAGAAAGCTCCTGGGGTAAAGGAAGAAGGAAGGCTCGTAGCTTGGAGAGCATTGACTAGGAAACACCCAGCCAAGGTTTCCTTAATTCTGCAAACATTTGACTCTGTGCAAAGTGCTCAGAGGGCAAAAGCTTCTTTGAACGGGGCTGACATTTACTCTGGCTGCTGTACGCTGAAGATTGAATATGCCAAGGTGAGTGGGGGGTTGCAGAAGAGAGGGCGGGGCCCTGGGTTGCACAGGAGGGTCTGCGGCCTCCACCCCCCCCAAAAGAAAATCAGCAAATGCTTCTTTTCTGAATCGGAAGGGATTTACAAACCGCCCCAACGAAATTGCTTCACACAGATTCCCCCCTAATTAGCTACATACCCTTGTCCCGAAGGTTACTGGCTCTTCCCAACAATAGTCCTGATACCAAACAGCACAATTGTAGCTGTTTGACGTTACTCCTTTGCGTAAGATAACCCTGCGAGTAGAGACAAGGCATCTGGTATGGGTTGAAAAATTGGGAAAACCGGTCTGGCATTTCCTCTCTGTTAAGTTACAGAATGGCAGGAATTCCTACCAGTAGGGCAGCTAATATGTAAAATACAGCTAGTCCTCAGTTAATGGGGATAATAGGGCCGGCCCGTTCCAGTTGTAAATCTTCCCAGTTGGGTCATTACGTGACCAACCTGGTTTGACAATCTGTCGTGCAGTAGTCGTTAAGCAAATTCCAGGGCTTCTGGTTGCCAGCAAAAACGTAAATGAGATGTTACAGAAGTTGTAAGTCCAGCATCCTTAATAGGAAGTGGATCAATACTGAGCCTGTAGCTTAATTTACTTCTGCTTTAATAACAGTCGTGCTAAGTCTCATATATTATGGGCTAAACTGGAACAGATAATGAGATGTCTAGGGTTATAAGCCAGTTAGGTTTATGACCACAGGCCCGTATAATCACACCGTGTGGCCTTGTCGCTCTCTTCCTCCAGCTCCCTCTCTTGATCTCCCTCTATTGTTTTCTGAACACTTGTGCTCTGTTTTAGCCGACTCGCCTGAATGTCTTCAAGAACGACCAGGATACCTGGGACTATACCAACCCCAACCTCAGCGGGCAAGGTAACCTTGATCGCCTGCTCTCAAGCTAGACACAAACCCTTTCTTTTCCTGTTGAAGAGCACACTTCCTCCAGCTGAATTGTGTGATGTAATGCCATTTGCCTGCTGTCCAACGTGGGGCCCGATTTGGGGAAGCCTGGAGGGGCAGGGCAGCCACATCCTGGCTTCAGCACAGGGGGCTTCCCGAGCCTCCTGACTGGAGGCGCAGTGGGGGGTGGGTGGGTCGAGAACAGCCGCGAGGGAATTGGGGCAGCTCCATCTCCCTGGTTGCATCTGGTCAGGTATTCCCCTCCCCCTCCCAGTATTGCATCTCTAGGGGGTGTGTGTGTGTTGCAGCTACTAGGAAGGTTGGGGATGCAGCGGGGAGAGGAGTCGAAAAGCAGGCTGCACTCTGATTTTATGTTCTGGGGGATCCCAGAATGGATGCTGGGGAGCTTTAACTCCTGGAGGGTCCAGAGATGACAATCCCCGCCAGTCTTAGGCCTTGTGCAGCCTTTGGCCCTGGCACTAATCTAGCCCCCTCCCTTGTGGGTCTGGAGCAGATACTGNCTGCGCCCACACTCTGTGCTTTCCCCCCTCCCTCCCTCCCTGCTTGGCTGCGGGGGATGAGCTCTGCTTGGAAGACCCCGAGCTGCTGGCTGGAAGGGCCGGAGGGAAGCGGTGGGGCTGGAGCCCGGCCTTGGTCGGAGGGGCTGAAAGGCAGCGAGGGTCAACCCGGGGCTCAGAAGCGCCTCCTCTCCCGCGGACTGTCACCGTTGGGGCGGCTGCAGAGAGGCTGGGCGAAGGCCGCCTCCACCTGTCCCTGCCAGCCGCTCTTCCCTCCGGTTTCCAGGTCAAGGGCGGGAGGGGATGCAGAGGCCTTTTCCCCAGAGAGAGAGAGAGAGAAATCGGCAACAGGTCTGGGATGGGGCATCCTGAGCGTCTGCGCTTTCCCCAACTTCCCCACCTGGGGGATATCTAAAGAGCAGGAGGTGAGAGAGGTGGGTCCCTCTGTGCCCCTCCGCCTCCATCCAGGCTGGGCAGTTTCTGTGCTGCTTCCCAGCCCTTAATAGCTATGGCACTTAGACTTATATAGCGCTTCTTCACAGTCCTTTTCCAGCCCTCTCTAAGCAGTTTACAGAGTCCCCAATAGTCTGGATCCTCACTTTGCCCACTTTGGAAGGATGGAAAGCTGAGTCCACCTTGATTAAAGACGATGAGGGAGGCTGGGCAGGCTTTCCGTGGAAATAAAATGCTGGTGATGTCTGGCTTCACCTGGAAGGCAACGCCAGAGGCAGCTGGGTTCCCAAATGGTGCTAAACTGAGCCAAGAACAGCTAAACTCCAGGGCCTGCCCCTCGTTGTTGACACAGTTTAATCTCTGCTCCCCTATTTAAAAATAAACTTGGCATGTTTTCTTTGTCAGAACCAGCCTCACCAGGGGGAGGTTTGGTTCTCACTTTGCCAAAGGAAGTAGTCTGCGCTGTGCTGCCAGCTGCTTGCCCTGCCTGGCATCTGCCTTTCAGCAGCTCTGCACACACCCTGGCCTGTGGAACTCATGGCCACAGGTCCTGGCATGAATTAAGATGCTAATTGTGGAGAAAACAACGGTCCCTCTTGCAGGAGCTAATTGTGCCGCCTTGATGGTCTTCTGGGAGGGGGTATCCTCCTTATGAGGGGTGGGCGTCTGGGGGCAGTGTGGGGTGGGAATTCCCCTCGTGTTTGCTGGAGGAACTCCACTGACCACTCTTCACTGGTATGAGAGTGGTCAGGCAGAGGGATCGTTAGGCTTTAAGGCACCAGGCTGGCATGAAGGAGGGACATTGGCATTTTATCTACTGCTCTTTTCCTGGTGGGGAATGGAGGCCGCGAAGTGCAGGGAAGCTCCCCCAAAGTTATCTGAAGGCCGTGATGTGAAGTGAGCTCTGCAGAATTGATCATCTGCAGTCCTTTTAAGGGGCAGCTTCATCCCTGGCTGCCTTGGGGCACAGCCAGAGCTTGAAAACCAGAATCACGTGCCATAATCCAGGAAGGGATTCTTCCACCTGTGGAAATCTGCACCCGCTTTGTTTTTCTCCTCCCAGCTTAAGACCTGGGCTCTGATTGGGTGGAGGTAGTTTGGGGCTACCTGGAAGCGTTGCGTCACCCAGGGCTGGAGGGTCTTTCATTTCCCACTCTGCCTTTCCAGGGGCCAGAAGGACTTTTCTGAGCCTTTCAATGCTGCGTGAGGATTAGGCCATTAAACGTATCCCAGCTCTCTTGGAAGCTGGTGTGTCCCCTTCCCTTCTCCGCTGGCTTTCCCTCTCTGGCTGAAGGCGAATCCCTCTTCGGCCTCCGGCCCCTCCTCAGCAGGGATGAGCCCCTATTTCACAGAGGCAGTTTGATCTGGGGTCCTTCTTAGAAAAGGGCTGTGTGGGGGAGCAGCAGGTTCAGATTGCACTCTGGGACTTTGGTGAGTTCAACTGGGGCATCTGTCAGTCACTTGTTATCTTGGGGCAGGCGGGTAACTTTGCGTGAATTTGGCTGCTGCTTCTGGCGTCAGTTTCTGCTTTATCTTTGACTTCCCTCTGAATAATCTGGCAATCTGCCCGTTCTTGGAACTGTAACTTCATGTATGCCGTGGCTCCTTCCCTCTGCAGAAGAGAGCCTCCCCCATAATTTATGCCCATTGTAATGAAGGAGCCCTGGAGGATTTGGCGAAGAAGGCCTCTGCAGCAGCACCAAGGCGTTTCGGGGGCATAAATTCTGCAGAAGCTTCTGCTGCGGAGCAAGCTTGGATTCCTTTCCAGCTTCCCGGGTGGGATGTGGCCCCTTGCAGGGAAGCTCCGTGCACTTGTGCCCTGCCAGGACTCGCACGGGAGACCCTCCGAACTCTCAGGCTGCCTGTTGTCCCAGGGAGACCAAACCATTCCCCAAAGGCGGGGGGGGGGCTTTGTGTGGAGGCTGACTCACTGACCTGTAAGGTTGGGTCCATCTTGACCCCAAGAGTTGGGCCAGACCCAACGGAGAGCCTCTTCCTTAACTCCGGCCAGATAACACCCGGTGCTTTTTCTGGAAGGTTCTTCTGTTTTTGTCCCTGTCTCTGGCGCATAGCAAAATAGTCAGACAGACCCTGTCGATAAACTGATTTCCGCCCAGAGTAGAGCAAACAAAGTTTGTGTTTGGAGAGAGCTGGTTCCCAAAGCTGGCTGGAGAATTCTGGAAGTCTACCCGTCTTCAGAGCTGCCACGTTTGAGACCCGCTGCTCTAAAGGGGGGTTGCATTTCAGCCCCTACTTTGCCCCCCTCTAGGGAATCAGTCTGGGTGGGTTGAAGCATCCGCAGGAGGCTGGAGCAGCCTCAAAAGAGGAGAGCCTGCAGTTGTTCTCCCTGCCTGGCCAGAGGACGGAGAAGAGGCTGTGACATAGAAGTGTCCCCTGCAGCGTCTTCTGAGCAGGGCCCATGTGGCTGGGCTTGATTGACCTCCAGGGTCTTTAAAGGGTCTCCTTGCTTTGGATCCACGTGAGGGAAGAAAGGCTGCCCCATTTTAGGGCTGGGTCTCCGTCTAATGAGGCATCCTCACCTGGGCACATCAACCCAGATGGGCCTGGTTTGTTTACGGAGAGCCTTGCAGATCTGGACCTCTGCTAAGGGACACCTGGAGGAGGAAGGAAGCCCCTTAGAAAGCAGCTTGAACACAAGCCTACCCTCTTGGCTGTGGGCCTCCCCATTGTCCTCCCAGTTTGAAATGGAGAGATTTGGCTGCCCTGCTGGAGCTGACCTCCCCGCCTGGACAAAGGGGGGTTTGTCCACCAGGACGTCAACGCTGCCACCTCGGCTGCGGGTTTCTGGGAAGCCTCTGAGAACTGCTGGAAGAATCTTCTGTGTTTTAATACAGGGGCTTTCTTTGCCCGCTGTCCTCCCTCCCACCCACCCACCCACTCACCCACCCAGCTGCTCTAAAGCCAGGAACTGGGTGGGCAGCTCTGCTCATCTTTTAATCCTCTTGTGCATGAAAATTTGGGGAGGGAGAAGAGAGGGGACTCTCTGGTGGCTTTTGACTAAAAATCCCTGAATGGTGGAATAGCTGGTTTTTTTTTTGTTTGTTTGTTTTGGTGGCCATGAATAAAGGTGCAGGTTGTTAATTTTAGGCTCTCAACGGGTGTCGTGCTGGGCAACCACCCACCTGTTCTTTGGGCGGCTGTTTCACCTGGCACATAACGTGAGCTGTGCAGGTTAATTTACTGCCCTCCCCCTGTTATTCCACACACTTTTTATTATCTGCTTTTCGGTTTCTCTTTAAGGTGGAGAGAGGGGAGGGGGCGAGCAAGAAAAAGGCTGCCATTTAATCCCACTTAAAGCAAAGAACCCCTTTGACTACAGGAGAGAAAGGGAGGGAGGGAGGGAGAGGTTGCTGCTTGATGCAAAATTCACATATTTAGAAGCAGGAACTGATTTGTTACAGGATGTGTTGTAAAAGTTGAAAGGAAAACACTTGGAGAAAGTTTGTAATTAACTCTGCGGCTGAACATTCTGCCGTGATTAAATCTTTTGAGATCATCCAGGGCTGGGGAGGAAGCAGCCACACAAGCTTCACATCCTCAAGCGGTGTGGGTGGGGATCTCTGGGCAGGGACCCTCGTGGTCATGCCCCTGAGCTTTCACCCAACTGAAGGCAACCAAGCTGCTTTCCCCTGGCACAGTGGCTTTTGACACAAGAAGAGGCTTAGCTGGGGCTTTCTAGGTGCCCTTTGAAGTGGTCCTTTTCTTCTGGTGCTTCTCACCTGGCCAGTCGTTTCCTCCTTGGCAGTGCCAAACAGAACATTCCCTTCCTTCTGAGGGGAGGCACACCTGCCGTGCCTCGGGAGAGCAGATGGCGCTTGGTGGCATGGGAAGAGTCCCACGGGGGAAACACGGGGCCATTGTGTTTGGTGAGTGAGTGCCAAGAACCTTTCTGCAGCTGCAACAAAACCAGGGAGCTGCCCAGCGTTGCTTTCCTTGGGGATGGGGCTAGGCCATAATTTACCTGGAAATCTCCAATTTATTAGCCTGGAAGGGAAAGAGGGAGATGTGGGCAGGGCCAGAGAAAATGACATTTCACCCCCAGCAAGAACACTAGCAGGAAAGGGCATTAAAAGCCAATTTGCACCCACATGAGTCATTCTCTATGCCGAAGGTGGGTGAGAACCTTTTGCCGCTGGTCCCAAGNCCCCGCACACTTGACGCCTCGCGAGGATGCCGTGAGAGGAGCCGAGGAGCCCCGGAGCCCTCTGGCGGCTCTTTCGTGCAGCTGGCTGGGTTCCCGGGGCAGCTTGGGAAAGGAGAACATCCCTCCGATTGGAAGCCATCGGCCTCCGCGCCAAAGCCTTGCCTGATTGGAGGCCGGGACCCCTTTAATGCCGGGTAGGGAAAGGCGAGGACTGGCCTACATTTCCCAGCAGCCCACGGCGCGCGCAGAAGGAATTGTGGGAACTGAAGTCCTAGCGAATCTGCCAGCCGCAGCTTGCCCAACCCCGGGGGCAGGAGCAGGACGTGCGACCCCCACCCTTGGCTTCTCCTCCCTCGTCCCCCTCACCGAGGGAGGGGGAAATGTGCCAGGAGACCCTTTGGCTTCTTCCAGGGGAAAAAAAAAAGACTCCTGCAACATCTGGAAACTGGATTCCAGCAGCACCGAAAACCCCTGGGCACGATATAGGATCTTCCCCCAATTCCTCGCCTGTGGGGGTCTCCTGCTCCTGTACATGGAGCCTCCGTTTTGCCCTGGGGGCTGATTGAGCGGCCTTTCACCGGGCCCGTTCGTCCTGCGTCGCCCAGGGGCTGGGCGGGCAGCGACCGATGTTTCCAGCTTAGAGGAGGGATGAGCTGTGCCAGCCTCCTGCAGATCGCCTCTGCGCCTGCCGCCCAGCCCTGCTTTAGCCATCCTTGGTCGCATAAGCCCCAGCTCCTTGGGGTCCCTCCACGGGCCCTTTCAAAAGATACTCGCGGGTGCTGAAGTGAAGGAAGGAAGGAAAAGGAAAGAAGGAAGGAAGGAAGGAAAGAAACGTTCTTCGCTGCTCCCGCAGGGTCTGTAAAGAAACCCGGCTGGGCCCCGCCGAGGTTGGAGGCGGCGCTGGGCTCGCCGGCTTTGCGGCGGCGGAGAGCGGAGCGTCTCGGCCGGGCGGGGGCTGGATCAAGGCCCGCCGCCGCCCCGCCCTCCCTGCCTCTTTCCCTCCCTCCCGGGAGGGTGTGTATGAAGCTCAGCCCGCCTCCAACCCCCCCTCTGCCCGCCTGCAGCAGAGAGAAAGGACCGGCTGTTGCTCCGTCGAAGCCGCCGCTGCCGCCTCCGTTTCGGCTAGGAAGGCGCGGGGGTCTGGGCGGTGGGCGGCCTTGGACGCTGCAACTGCGCCCCCTCCCCCCTGCCCTGCAGCTGATGCCCAGGGAAGGGCGACGCGATGGGCTTCCTGCACCAACTTTATCTCCTGCTATGGAAGAACGTGACGCTGAAGCGACGCAGCCCGGTCAGTAGCGGGGCGGGGGGGGGAGGGGGTGGTGGTGAAGAATTTGGAAGGGAGGGGTACCGGAGCCTGGCCCCCTCCTCCCCCTCGGCCGGCGGGGCTTCCCAGATTCCGGCGGTCTTGGGGGTGGCCGAGATTTCCTTGCGCTGTTTTGCAAGGGGGGGGGNCATCTTAAAAGTTGTCAAAGTTGAGGAACACTAAGCTAGACTGCTCCTGAGCATCCAGCTCAGTTATGTAATCATTCGGTGGGTTTCCCTGGTCCCCTTCCCCAGTCAGTGGGTTCTCAGCCCACCTTTATTGCTCTTGAGTTTTGCCAGAAGAAGAATTGAGAGAATGAGGAAATGCCCATGACTTTCTCTGGAGGGAGGGGCTCCCTCTAGCTGCTTCCTCCCAGCCCTGCGTAATTGCATCACAAGCTGTGTTGTGGGTCTTCTCTTGCTAAACAGCCAGACACACCCCTTTCCTTTTAGGAGAAAGGTGAGGCTGGTAAACAGTCCTGGGAGCGCCTAGGCGGCAGCTGCGCCCAACAACAGCTGAGAAGTGCCAGGTGGACCTTTCTTCCAATTTCCTCATTGCAGAAGAAAAAATAAAAGGCAGCTGCCAACCCCGGCCTGCCCTTTAGCCAGCAAAGCCTATATAAAATATAGGGTGTGGAGGGAAGTCCTGGAGGCTGCTGTGTCAAGAGAAATAAAAGATTTCCCCTTGTTATCCAGCTGTGCACACGCACATACCCTCAGGGCTGCTGTTTTTGATAGAGGCCCCTGGTGCTCCTTTTCCAAGGGGAGAGAGGAGAACTTTCTCTCTGAGAGCTCTTCCCATCACTTGTCTCCCTTCCCACTTTGGGGGGGTGGGGTGGGGGGGAGCAGAGTTTGCTCTGTGTGTGCGTGTGTGTATGTCTGTGTGTGTGTAAGAGAGCGAGTGCCAGCAGTCTCTTTGCGGGGTCGGAACCCGGGTTCTGTCGAGGGGTGATTCACTCCGGCGTGGTGTCTTGTGGGCAGAACAGTGTGCCTGCTTGCAATGTAAAAAAACCGGATTTGGTTGCTATGGAAACGTAGCAAAGAGGATCTTCTTCATAATAAGGCTATTTTTAAAAAAATAAATAAATTGGAGAGGGATCCAAAAGGAAAAAAAAAAGAGAGGGGTGGGGGAAACTGGATCAAAGACCTGATATGATCCACTTGCCCCCTCCTCCCACAAAGGGCTAGCTGGGAGCTCTGGGGAGACTGGGCAAGACTTGGGCAAGGGGTTGTGTATCATTTCCTTTTTGGTTGTTGGGTGTTAAGAGGAAAATTCTCTGTTGCTGTTTCTTACTGTGGAGGCATCGGTTACTGCTGCAATTTTGCTCAAGGAAATGGAAATATACAAAGAGTTGCTTGATTCCAGAGCTACAAAGGGGGAAAGAATAACGTGCGTGAAATAAATATTCTGCCTCTGGATGCTGCAAAGCAGCCTCCGTCTCGCAGGGGTTTAGCCCGGAGGTCTTTCCATCAGCCTTGAGGGCCCTGTGGGCTGCGGGCAGTGCCACCCTCTTTCCCTGCCGTTTACAAGTTGGCCAGCTTGGGCAAAGGGCTGCCCAGGACCCAGGTGTGACTTCCTCCTCTTCGGTCTGCTTCAGCCGTTGGGGCCCTGGGGCTGCCAATGGCCCTGAGCCTCTTGGAGGGACGGTGCCCTTCTGCCCTTGCCGAGGAAAACGGCAGGCGATGCCGCTTCCTTCCGAAACGTTCATGGTGGAAGGGAAGACGGCCAGCCACCCGGAGGCTAAAATGCTTGGCGCTGCCTGGTAGAAACCAGCTAATGAAACAGGCCTGGTGTTTCTGGAGACAAAGTGACAATTGTCAGCTTCCCGTGAGTAAACAAAGGAGGAGGGAGTCAGTGGGGAGACGGCTGCCCTCCCTGGAGGAATTGTATTCGGCGCCTTGACTCGCTTGGGCAGAAGAAGCTGGTGCTGCATCCGAGGCCCAAAGGCGCCTCTGTCCCTCCAGCTTTCCCAGTTCCCCTCCCAGCAGAGAAAGGCTTCTGTTGGCACCCGGCCAGAACGTTTCCCTGCGTCTCCCCCTTTTCCTTTTCAAGAAAGAATTTCAACCTGAGTAACCTCCAGGCAGGATACTGAGGTCTCCTCTCCACCCCCACTGGTGTTTTTTGCATGAATCTCCATGGAGCTTCTTTAGTATGGGATTCTGGCAGGTGGGGAACTTGATTGCCCAGGGGTGGCCTCCAAGGAAGGCCACGGCTGTGGTGCTGAAGCCTCCTCGGTTCCCTGTTTTAGGAAGGCCTCCTTAGGCCCATAACTCTGGGGAAGAATCAACAGGTCAATCGTGGCCAAGGGCCGTGGGGCACCTTTACAGGTGGGCCCTTCTGAGAAGAAAAGGGAATTGCTTCTCTTGGGCCTGGAGGGGAGGCGGGAGGGTGTTGGGCCTGCCAGCGGCCAGCAGAGCTGGCAGCAGATTCGGACAAGTGAGGTTGAGGAGGAACCTGGCCAGTCCTGGAGTCTGGGGAAGGCTCTGGTTAGGGCTCTGCGTCGGATGGAGAGAGGGGGCCAGAGCCTTATGACAGTTATCAGAGTCAGACATCAGTGAGGCAGAGGAACAGCTGGAGCCTGTTCCCAGTGTGCGCATGCGCAGAGTTGCCAGACGAAGGGAAGAGCTAAAGAACAGAGGTTGACATGGGAGGAAGGCCACAGGTGGACGGTGAATGGCCCCTCCCAGAGGGAATAAAAGAGGAGCGAAGGGGGAGTGGAGTTTGCAGG